GAGGTCAGAACTGGACCAGGACAGACTCCCAGTAGGTCTACCTGGCCTGTTGTTTCCCGGATGTAGAGAGCACTGAGGGCAACGATGTTTGGCTGAACCACAGTCGGCGCATAGACTCAACCCGCTGATGAAGAAGGTCGGCTCTGTTCTACGTGTCATAAAGTTGGGACAGATGGACCTAGGATTCAGACGAGTCAGACAGCAGGAAGTTACAAAACATTTAATGACAGAAAATGAACAGAAACGGAATAAAAACAGAAACGCGGGCTGCTGTGGATCTGTGGACCACAGCGGCTGCAGGGGGGAGGGGCACCGCCCAATCACTGAGACTCTGGTTTAACAGCTCAGTCCATTCTCTCTGAGGAAGGCGAGATCCAGCTGATGGACTGCCAAATGACCTGCGGAGCGGAGCTGCCGATAGTGTCCCCGATGTAGCAAACTTAGTGAGCAGGCAGGAAACCCATCCAGGTCAGAGATACAGAGCAGACAGGAACAGTTCTGGACTCTGCCGCCCGGTCAGGGGTTCCGATCCGCACAGGAACAGACAGATCCAGGTTTCCAGACATGCCCAGATGCAGACAGGCAGGCTCAGTGGTAGAAGAACAGAGATAAGACATGGTACCAAGATAACTGCGAAACTTTAAACTGGTCTCCACCTTGGAGCCGAGCTACAACCCTGAGGGCCCCCGCAGAGAAGGCCTAGAACCAGAGCTGCCCCACAGGCTGAGCCAAAGCCCTGAGGCTGAGCGGAGAAGAAGCGGGACACCATCAGGAGGCTGGAGACAAACACCAGACCCTCTAAATCCACTGGCCTCCATTAGTCAGGACATGAACCAGGAACTCCAAAACAAACATGAACAACTGACACGAATACATAACAAAGTATAATGTTCTGGCACCGATAGCTGGGCTAAACCGTGTATATAGCAGAGGGAGCAGGTGAATAAGATGAATGATAATTAGAGAGCGGGGAGGGAGCAGCAGGTGGATGAAGTGAGTGATCAGATCCGCTGCCTGGGCTGCGATCAGGAACTCCTCTGGAGATGATTTCACAGAAAATGATGGAGCCTCCTTTTCATCAGGCTGTTAAACACCAACAGAAGGTCTTCAGTCAGAGGCTGAGGCAGATCTGGTGCAAAACAGGCCTCTACAGGAGATCCTCCCTGCCTGCTGCACCAACACCTACAACAACTAGTGCAAATATATTTCTATTCTATTCTATTCTATTCTATTCTATTCTATTCTATTCTATTCTATTCTATTCTATTCTTCTCCATCTTGGGGCCTGGCTGCACCTTGGGGGTGTGGTAGAGACTGTTGCTGTTTGGGTGAGGCAGAGACAAACCCACCATCTGGTGATTCTAACCATTTATTCCTGAAATGTTCGGCGCTGTTCTTCACAGAATGGAAGCAGAATATTAGGAGCAGCTTTAAAAATGTTGGATCATCTGAACTGTGTGATGTTAAATCACCACTAACTGCTCTTTGTTTGTTGTCAGATGACGGGGACAACTCAGCAGAACTCCAAGACCCCACAGGTCCACATCCCAGCAGCCTCTGCAGCAGGAAACACCTCTGTCAGCGTGACCCTTGACCCCCAGGCCCAGCTTGAGTCCGATAAGAGAGCAGTTTACAGGTTGGTTCAGTCATTCTTCAAACCCTTCATACGGCTGATGTACGAACTATCCACTTCCTGTTTGTTCTTTCCTTATTCTGATAAAGATGAGAACTGATCTCACAGTTACTCTGTTTTAATCACAAACTAACAGCATTTTTAATCAATGCTTTGACTGATCAAAGGAGGCCTGATTCCTTATGAATTCATTCACTGAAATCAGAAGGAAGGTTTGATTGGGAGGAGTTCTGGTTATGACTGGTGCTGATGGTTCCTCT